TGTTCTTAAGGTGGTCAAGCATGTCCAGAAATTGAGTTCCAACACGTGTGGGTGCACAGCTCTTATGACCAATATACGTGCGCCTACATGGTAACCAACAGTGCGAGAACCCACGCTGGCTTTTCACATTTTCACCTAATGCTCTTTATGTTCTCGCATTGATCTCCACCATGCCTCACCTTCCTTCAACTTCTAGGTTTCCTTTGTAAATTCAAGAGAATTGCTAGTCTTACTTTCAGTCTTGAGCCCTACATTTATGCTCGATTTACATGAGGTAGCATTGATGGTTGCACATTTTAACGACACACGTGATGTAGTTGTTGTTGGTTATTAGGGCACCCATCAAGCTCTCTACCTCATGTCTCCAGTTGCCTCAAATTGCTCCGACTACCGTCTTTCCTTATAGTGGGTTTCACATACAGAGGTAAAAATCAAGGCACATCACAAGGGTGACAGATATGCCTTTTCAAAGTTGTCAATTGAGTAGTATAGTAGTTGAGAATTGTGTGAAGAAGGAGGAAATAATTGTCATTTACCATCACGCTGATAAGGCAGCAAGGTGTTGTAGCCTGGACTTTCTACGTGGGCGAGTGGCCTGAGTCCTGTCGATCTCCCAGCCACATAATTGATAGGCAGACTCCAGGTTTAGGGTGGATGTCCATGTCGATCAGCGTGCGACACGCGTGTGTGAGCCCAGTTGCTGGCCAGTGGAGCCTGAGCCAATGGGTGAGTCGAATCAGAGTCGCACGGCCAGTTCCGTCCCATGCATCAACTAGTGACAGATTGACAGGGGACTTAGGCTGACTATCAGAGCATTTAAAGTACAGCTAACACAATAGCCAGAGCATCAGAAAGGAGAAGAAGGAGGAAGCGGTTTCTAGTGCGTTACCAAAAGTAGCTAGGGGAGTAGAAGATTTCAGGAAGTTAAACAAGAATATTTTTGGGATTTGAAGGCATCTACGTGATTGTGGTGTAGATTTGCAACACTTGCACTCTTGCCGTACTTGTCAGTTAATCGCTTAGTGACTCAAACTGCTTTGAGCAACTTGATCGCAGACGGGCCAACCCATTTATGGATCAGTGAAATTAAACTAAAGTGTCCAAATGTATATTTGTCATTCAATAATTATTCACTATGATTGGTCTCTTCACGGTTAAGTAAATACAAATGAATGCTGAATTGAACATTCCCTGGATTATGAGGGTCTTTTTTGAAAAACAAGCTGACTCACGTATCACTACCTCGAGTGGCTAATTTGTCGAAGCTCATAATATCCTGGGAGCATTCCTTCATTGTTCCCCTTGAAACAGGTTTGTTAAATTAGGTGTGCGGAAGGGCTCGCGGCTCTTTTTGCTACATCTATCTGCATCATCATCTTAGGAGCGATGAGACTATGAACTGTTTATAACTTGCCTCTTTCATGACATTTTCATTTTTTAGCCTTCCTCCCAATCTCTAGAGTAAATTTTGCAAACAATTAATGCGAATTTGTCTTAACTTAGGCAGTCTGTTATTCGTAATCTGAGATTTCTGCGAGCTTAAATGGCCTAGATACTCTCAGTAGGAAAAACCTGGATAAATTGTGAATTAGGGTATCTGGGCAGATGCCGTTGTTGATTGAGGTGTGTATGTGTCAATACACACATGCGACGTGCATGTGTACCAGCAGCTGGACGGTAAAGTCCAACTGTGTTTGCGTCCGAGGCTAAGTCTGAGCCTGAGCAAATCACTCTGTCGGCTTATTCAGATGCGTCCCTCAGTGAGTGGTTGATCCTTGAAGCTCAGAATGCAAATAACACATCCAGTGTCAATCGGAAGAGCATGACTGAACAAATAAAGGCCGTTTCTAGGAGATTTAGAAGCTCTTAAACCGAGGACTGTACGTTTTTGTGTGCACATAAATATTGTAATAGAGGCGGAGTGTTGTCGCTCCACATTCTAGACTGCATAGTGTAGGCCAGCATTCCATTTGGAGGGAAACCAAGTCAAGAATAGATTTCGACAACTTTAACCATCCACCCATTTCCACGCTTACGACTTGACGTATTCACCTCGCAATGTTGCCCACTATCTATGGTTTTCAGGCACTGCATTCTAGTTGTACATCACAGCAGCAAATGTTGCAGGAAGGGTGGATGAATTGGCGGATCAAACTGGGAAGGAGGTAAGGTTGAGCGCATGGGCAAAGGCTGCACCAAGGTACGAATTCGACCGGCAGGATATTCTGCTCCTAGTCTTGTGCGCGTTCAGTAGAAGAGGCAACGTTAATAAGCTGCATCACTGGAAGTAGTTGACAGTCCTGTCATCTTTTCTTTTGTCAATAAATTTATGGTAAATTCTTTTGCATCTGTGGCAAGTACTAGTACTACTACTACCAGTACTACTAGGGTGAGTAAACACCGGATAGACTTTGGCAAAATATAATCGTCAACGAAAAACAGATCCGAGTTTGCTCAATAACCTAGGGACGAATAAAGACTTGAACAGATTTGATTGGAAGAACAGATTATAAAGCCCAAAATGACTGCACAAGTGTGTAAGCTGGAGGACTTGATGACGTTCGAATGGAGGAATGTACCAACGGATGGACCTAGAATGCGCAGATCACCGAATCCAGCAAAGGCAGCAGACGAGAAAACCAATCCACAGTGGATAATTGAATGGATTTAGGATGTGCGGGCCTTTAAAGGGATGCTTCTTAGATGAATTATTGCTTCAACGGACATCTGGGGTGATGAAGGGATCTGAGAATGGAAAGATGGATAGACTAACAGATAGAGAGGCTAAAAAAGTGTAAATCTGATATGGCTGAGGGTTTTAATGGGTAAACAAAAGTATGAGTAAGCGGTTGGAAGAAATGACCAGACAAATTCAAAACTGAATAGAATATCAAAAGTCCAGCCATCCTTCTATATACACACAGATCCGATTTATTTTCGTGGAAATTTTTATTCACAAAACAGACACGAATTCAGGCCTTCTTTTGTTCGGCAGCACCTTCCAACTTCGCCTTCTTTTTCTTTGCGAGGTCAGCCGCTGCCTTAGCTTTTCTTTTCCTCCGTCGTTCTTGCTTCGCCTCCGCCTTTTCGAGCTTTCGCTGTGTGTCAAGGCCTTCCAACACGGCTGATAGGTGTCTAGAGAAAAGGAGGAGAGAAGGAATACGCTACTGATGGGATAACAGATTTACTCTGCAACCACGTAAGAAAAGGAGATAGACGCAATTACAGTAGAGGAAAATAAATGAGAAGGCTAGATAACTTGAACACAAACTCAACTCGTTAGTACAAAGCTGACTTAAAAACATAAGCAAACCTTTTTATGATATCTTGGCGGCGCTTTCGTATGCTACTGAAAAATTGCATATCTGATAAGCTCTATAAATGACGCCTTAACCCATGGCAATTTACCACTATGGTCGTTCACAGACGGGAGAAATCTAACCAAAATACTAATTGAGTGGGCAAATAAGCGAAGCACTTACTGTGAGGAAGCACGGAGAGAGCGAATGAGTTGAATGAGACGAGAATGGTGCGGGCGAACAGCTTTTGGAAAGGCTGTTCTATTGGAGGTTAAAATAGACGTCAATTCCTCTGACGTGAGCTGGTCAAACTGGAAAATTACAAAAGTAAACAATGATAAACGCATATAAAAACCTGGAATTGCACGCGAAAAATCCATGGGAAAGAACACTTCAAGCATAATCTTTCTGAATTGTACAGATACCATTGATTAAATTCAAACAGAACAACCTAATTGTGAATTCGTCAGGGAAAAAAAAAACATCTAGACGGCAATCGGGAATGATTCGGTTAACAATGCTTGAACTGAAAAGGCGATCAGAACGACCTATAATGAATTTTACAAATACTGAACCAGCGGTTATTGAAATTTCAGGCGCTGATTTAAGTGGTTCAAGACAAGGAACCAATTACGTCTTCCAATTTGTGTTTAGCAGGCAAGATTATGTACTACTGCCACCCAATTTTAAAATCCAGACTTTGTATTTGGAATATTCAAGCTTAGAAAAATATTGAAATCTGATTTATCGATTGCGGATTCAGGACCATTCTTCCATTCCTTGACAGACTTAGAAATCCACGCGTGGATATCGAGGTCATTTTCAAAATCACAGAAGAAGAGGTTTAAGAGATATTTCTTTTTTACTTTCATACAGGATTCCCTTACCACCGTCTTATTCAACTTGAAGCAGTTGAAAAGGCATTCAAACACGGCTACAGTAAGAGCCTTGGATTGTGTCCACGTTGAGGCGCCTGGGTTCATGAAAAACGAACCAATGAGGGTGCGACTCAGAGGGAGCACCCAATCAGAAAGAGCTGGAGATTTCGAGCCAGCCAATCCGCTTGTCACAGCGTTTGCCAAGCTCAACAGAGCAGTTTGAGCATAAATATATGACAAGTTGGACTGAGATGGCGATGCTGGTGGTTGTAGTGTGAATTTGAGACGCTCGATTACCAAACAACCGGTCAATTCGGCTAGCTCCTGAAGAAGTCAGAAAAAACGGAAGCATCACTTTTCATGGGATCGGTGGAATTATGTATTCCATGTTTAGCAACTCTCCTGACTAGAGTAAAAATCCATAGAATGGTTGCTAGGAGAGTAACATTTCCGAGAAATGCCGACGAACTCACTGGAGATGAAGTAATTAGACGTGTGAGTAAGAGCTGATGGGCCTTGCTGGGATGCATTTTGGATAAAAATTCGCCGAGAACGTCCTCCAAAGCCACGTTGAGCAACTTCCGGGAATTCTGGTCTGCAACCTTTTTAAATTGCTGTGTTCAAAGCAAAAGAAAAAAAAGGAGTGAGGACGGTAAATGTGTTAACCAAGGTGCGACTCAATTGACTACCCTGTAACCAATAGGATTTAGAGATTTCCGTGACATTTTAAGAAATCGCTGACCGGATCAAAAATGATTAAACTCCTTCTCCTTGATTTGAAAATTTTAGTACAATAAAGCATGACAAATGAAAGTCAAAGCCTAAGCATATTTGTTGAAGATGGCGAATGAATCAAATCCAAAAAGCATACGTCCTTAGAATTGAATTCGCGAATGTTTTGAAAGCAATTACTTCACTTTTTTGCAAATAATGATTCAACGACGGTACATCCCAACTTTTACAATGATGGAAGGGCAATAAAGACAATTTGACCTACCAGAAATTCACACGCAGTCTGTAGACACTTGATCAGCTTGTTATCAGGAATAGCTAAAAGCGACATTGCAATAGATTAATCTTTAAAAAGATAAACTCTCCACAAATCGCAAATTAATAGTAGTACCACATGCAAATGAACTAAAAATTGCTGGCTATCCGAATAGTGATGAATTATGTGGAATGGCAGGATCGTCGGGGTGGAGGTTGAGAGATTGAGGGAAGATAGCACCTTGCCATCTGGCATTGGAATCCAGGTACCACATTTACGCAATTGACAGCATCTAGCTATGTTCACAAAACCATTAATTTAAAGAAATTTAGATGTGCACATGATTTAGGATGAATGAAAGTGAATGATTTCCTGCTTACGAAGTGAAGAGTAAATAAGCAAAAAGAATATTAAAATTGAAAACGAAGTATCAGGTAAAAAAGTCCGCACGATGCAATGGCTAACTAACTGTAACTTAAATACTTTAATTGATTAAGTCTCGGTTTCGGTAACGGGTTGCTTAGGGGCTCCGCCATCGCACTACCCAAGGCGGCCTAATCTCTTGGGCCATGCCAGCAGCACCCAAGCCCTTCAGCACGTCAACAATGGATATTTAGCCTGAGTATTATGCTTTCCTTCGTCTACAGGGAAGTCTGGGGGCGCTACAGCAACTAGCAGACACCTGTAAGATGCATGTACTATAATACATGGGTATGCACACCGGTGTATCGGTGGGACACAAAAAAGCTCCTTCACTTCTACCAGGCGTGTCATCAAAACATTCCGTGAATTTTAAGTTCTTTTTTAACTGGCTGACTGACTTGTGAGAACTCAGTTCGTTATTTTAACAGCCTTTAAGATTGCAAGCATACTATTGACTATCTCCCAACAATCCACACACCACCACTACACACTTCTAAGGCAGGCATCGCCTGATTCCCAGAAGGCCATGCTGTGTCTGTGATACCGCCTCGTCCTCATCCTGCGTTACCCCGATGATGTTTCTCCAAATGATGACCATCGCCTTTTGGCATTGGATTATCAAACGAAATGGAGAGTTGGGGGGAGAAATTGGGACACAAACAGAGGTGGCCAGAGCTTACCCCCTTGCATCCATAACAACACACATTACAAGTGCAATTTTCATGCTTATGAAATCTTATTGAATATCTCATCGAATAAAATGCCTTAATAAATGCCTTAATAAACACAATACAAGTCCCTACTTCTATCACGAAGAAACCACACGAATTTGCTATATTGCCTTACAAATCTTGTAATTTAAAATTGGTGAAGGATGAGTGAGCTCCAAGGGTTTGGTACTTCAAGTTACAAGGATCGGAGAATACTCCAGATAGAAAAACAGGAGGAATTAAAATATCCATAAATGTAAATAGGGGAACGAAAATAAGAAGTAGTCGACTCCAGAATGATGCTTGTACTTTCCAATAGCAAAAATCTCACTGCCATATGGACACGCTCCCAGAGTCAAGCGTGCTTGCCGTCAAACAGCATACAGGCTTGTGCGACGCCCCTCAAATCCAGCAACAGTAGACGTGACGAATGAACGTTTGTAGAATTCCAAGAGCTAAATCTCCACTTAAAAAAGTTGTGACGGCAAGTGCAAAGGAAAAAGGCCAAAACACAGCTGAGGACAATGATCCAGTTACTTATCGAACTGAACCTTTTTGTTCGATCTAATTTGTTTTAAAGGTTAGTGGTTTGGTGCACTACCCTTGTCAATAATGACATTAGTAGCCTGGCTCTTCTAAACTATTTGTCAAACTGGTAATCATGGTGGTAGACAAAAAAATTATGAGATGGCAACGCCTATTTGTCCGTCAACTTCAGTCATCCTTGTCCACCAACAACGAAAACCTTTTGCGAACTAATGACCTCGAAATGAATTAATTTGAGAAACAAAAAAAGATACTCACCATTCCTGAACACCCGGAAGATGGCCTTGAAACAGGTCGGTAAAAGGGCCTCATCCGAATTGCAGATTGACTGCCAAAGAAGCTCATTGGCGAGCAGTGGACGCGAACGCAATTGATCAAGGCAGGAGGCGATGCGTGCTAGAGGCACATGATCCCCTTTATTTCCTTGGCGCCGCTGAGTTTGGATGTTACTGGTTCGTCGAGTCGAGGCGACAGCCAGTTGGATAGTGGTGTACAGGGTCGGCTGAACAATCGTGAAGAAACCGGGAAATGATACTCTCTTCAGTGGGTGATAAGACAAAGCAGCCCTCAGTGGGTCAAAGGAGGGAGCAACAACTATTTCGGCATGAACTTTAACGACATAAAATTAGAAACAAGCTCTCAGGATTGGAAATCCAATTGCAAAAGTATGTTCACCGATGCATCAAACAAAGTTTTCACTACTTTGTGGGAGTTAATTAATAATTAGGAAATTACTTTCTTAAACAATCTAAACTAAATTTTTGCTTAAAAATATGAAGATCCACAGTTTTCAAGAGTTTTTACTCCACTATTCATTCACTTCTTCATTCATCTGACCATTTCAAACTACCCATGAGTCGGCAGCATGCTAGTTGACTAACATCTGCTTGCTTACAATATCAAATTCACCATTCTTAAATTCCAAATCGAATGACGATTTGGCAGCCAACTCACCAGAAAGAGATTTGCATCCGAGGTATAGAGCAGAAGGTACTCCAGGAAATCGAATGACCTGAACGGAAAAGGGGTCAAAGGTCGGAGAAAGACCAACCAAAGTCAAGCTGAAAAGTGGAGAGAACAACTGACCTCAATTTGAGCAGAGCCACCGCCTCTTTGCGCGATTTCGCATCCATTTTAGAGGATCTAGATGCTCTAAACAGAGCCGCCAAAGCCTCGTCTTGTTCTTCCATTTGTTCGTTCGATAAAAACTCCTCTTCCTCCTCCTCATCCTCAATTTTCGCCTCAGTGGATGGCCCCTCCTCTTCTAGGTCGGCAAAACCACCTAAAAGGGGAAGAAGTGATAAGTGGACCGACCACCTTGCAGTAAACCGATGTTTGTTTAAACGTGTGTTTATCTACGCAGGCTCTTCAGCCTCCAAAAGTTTTACCATCATCTTAAGGGTGTGCACATCTATACATGCCTACAGTTTTCAAGCCCCTCTGTGCACAAACAACAAATCATATTTCTACAATGGGAGGTTTCATTACCCAAGGCGCCAAAGTTCGTCTTCTATCCTACCTTCTTCAATTGCTATTCGTCAGTGTCTGCTGATAAGACATTTACAACGGTGGGATGTACGTATGCTTATGCTAACTCTATGCTACCGGCTACCTAGCTCTTTTGTACCTTGATAATAAAACTACACCTAGACTAATGTCGAATTACACTTTTAAAATCAACTTGGACACTGCACTGATAGCTAGTCATCTTTCCAAATGAATGGTGAATCTAGTAGTGATAGGACCATACTGGCAGTGTGGAAGGTTGGTAGTTTGCATCCTTGACCGCGAAAATGCATCAAACAGCATTTGTGATGGAAAGCAGGGCTGAGTTTAAAATCCATCATTTCGAATTTCACAACCCACAAAGTGGCGCCACTATTGATTTAAAACGTGATTAAATTGAACTGGCAACAATTTGAATTTGGAGATAGCAATAACGAAAAGTAAAAAAATTAGTTCGAAACCGTAATGGTGAATAATGAGCTAAATATCTCCTAAAAACGATAAGAATAATTGCCGGCATTTCATGCTTTAAGGTGGAGATTGAAGCCTACCTAACACGATCTACCGAACTCGCTACTAAAATTCACCTTCCATTTGAGAAATGAAGCGATCCCAGGAAGATGGAGAGGTCTTACTGAAGAGATAAGGTGGATGACAATTGATAGTCTAAAAATACATCTAAGGATGCTTCTAACCCCAGAAAAGTGCTCCCGTCCGCATTTCTAGAAGCTCCAATTGATGACCAATCTCCGAGTTGTCCAAAATCACGCCCTCGCTCATTCCCCTCTGACTGGCCCATACCAAGCGGAGATGTACCCTAAGCGTGCTGATGACGCCTTGAAGGCCAAGATCAACCGCTTACTATAAATATGCGTTGCCGAGATCACTCAGACGCAGACATTCAGGCAGTCTCCGCTCTCTGGTCACCAGGCGAATACATACTGATCGTAATCACCTTCGCTAACCCATTGTCAGTAAAAAGGACATCTGCGGCTCAAGCACACAAACGTCAGGTTATAAAAGATGGTAGAACATTTTTGAACTTGAGTCTACAACTTGAAGTATGATAAATCAGTAACTGGAATCACTATCGAGGTATCATATGAATTAGACGAATCGTCATATTTCAACGCTTACAGATGCTCCTTGACGCAAAACAAAACAATATTTCATTGAAAGCAAATCAGTTCAACTCATCTACTTGCCTATCTCTCTTTCCTCCTCTTCCTCTGCGGATGAGGATCCATCAATGGATTCATCGGGATCGTCTTCATCTTCCTCCACTCCAGCAACAGCAATTCTCTCCTGTGCTGCCTTCGACCGACTATCCGCGATGCTCAAAATCAACTGAAGAGGACTCATAGCCTCCTCACTCTGTTCCTCCGCCTCTTTTTTTCCTGTTCCAAACACTACCTCGGGTGGACCAAGTGGAGGAGCAAAGAGTTCGCGTTGGGCAACTACTCGTCCGAATGTCGCACCGACGACTTCACGCAAGAGACGCCATGGTTCGACGCAAAGGCTGAGCATTGCGTCAGTGAGGACGGCGGACCATTCTGGAGTGGAATCGGAGTCAGTGGAGGCAGGAGTGCCTTGACTCGTATCCATAGCGTTGGAGGCGGTGGTGATGGGGAGAGAGCGGTGACGACGAGCCTCAGAAATGTCATCGAGAAGGGAGAGAACGGAGGCCTCTTTCGGCGAAGGAGGATCTGAAAATATAATGAAAAATGAAAAGTCATGATGGATGGGCAGAGGACACTTTCGAAGAATCCTCTCGAAAGATATTCTATTTAAAAGAATTTAACTAGATGCTATTCATCAGAGTTTGTTTCTTTCATTCCAGCAATTGTTGAACGGAAAGGGAGCGAGGTTCAATGGACGACTGGTAATGCAAAATGCGGATCCAGAGGCTTATCGTCAAATTGGGAGAAGGTGAGCCATGCGTTAGCAAAAAGTACTGCCTAGAACTGATCAAACACTTTCACTCTAGTGATGGATTGCTTAAAAATACATCCATTTCAAAAAAGTTCTTGATTCTTGTCAAAAATGAGGACCAGCATGCTAGGAAGAACTTTCAGCAACGTTTAATGTGAATGATAATAAAACAAGTCGTTTGCGTCAACATTAGTTAGGAATGGGAGTCGTGGGGCTAAAAATGGTTCCACATATAGGCAGTAAAATATAAAACTAGGTTTCACATATCTCTGAGTAATGTCTGCCATTCACATCCTTCACGTACTTTATGGAAAAGCGTCGTTTATCTTAGCATTTTTGTTGACTGATGGGACTTGCGATAAGAAATAGCTTTCGTAGCCCATCGTCTGGCTAATGGACACATCATTGGGCCGCCCCGGGCGTCTCAATACGAAAAATTCTAAGTCTTCTTCATATCCAAACCACTGTTAACCCTGAGCGTAACTGACTGAAAACAGAACTACTCACCGTGGCTTTCCAATTGAAAGTTAAACAGCTAGGTGTGCAAGAAAAGCCTCTTCCTAAGAAAGATTCAGAACTGACCATTTTCACAAGGCAAATAATGAACTTTTATCGCATATCGCAAAAACTTATTCGTCCGAATACCTCACACCGCACTTTAAGATAGAAGGGAGACCTCTCTCATCCACCTCCCCCATTTCCCTCACGTTTCTCCAAGATCCACCGTAAAATTAACCTTGCATTGCCATAAATTTGAGAATTTGCCTAACACAGCTAACCTTTAAAATAAGCAGTAGAAAAACCTACCGCCTGTAAATAAGCACGCAACGCTAGCCCATCAACTACCTCGGACCTTGATGATACTATTTCAGACGTTGATGGAAGAAACTTCGTTTACCTACCACTGATGCTGCACACAATGCATTGGTAACATTCATGCACAGCCTTTCAGATCTCCATTTCACGAGTGATGTATAGACAAAAATCGTCTATGAGAACCAAATTCCTGAACCAATGTTCGTCAGACATCATTCATTTGTTGGCAATTCAAGTTGTTAGAGTTACCCTATTGCTTCCTGGCAAAACAGAATCCGTATTCAACAGGGCTTAGTAAGAGATGAAATCGGATATTGTAAATTTAGTATTGCTATTTAACAACTTCAAAACTTTGTGTAATATCTTGATATATATGGGAAAAAATAAAAACCAATATATTTTTTAAGATAAAAGGAGACGAATAAAACAAAAAAACACTTACCAGAATGCAAAGTGACAGCATAAATTATCGTAGTTGCGTACAAAATGCCTATCCACTGTTCCACAGCATCACTATTATCATCCCCTAATATCGCCTTCGCTGTTCCCAATCGTTCTAGCAACTCGGCACCATCTTCCAGTCCATCGGAACAAATTTTCATATTCGTTTCCACGAGATGTCGCATGGTGTTCACCAACACTCTCATAGTCTGTTTGCAGACCTTTGCACTCTGAGAGGAGTTCTGAAAAAAGGAGGGCGAAATTAGAGACGAGAACAGCTAAAAAGACATCCTTTTCTTCACACACCCTCATTTCCGCCCGCAGCGAGACACGTCGAATCAAAAGTGTTAAACACTTTCCCAACTGCGTTAATGAAGCTCCGGCAACAGCTGAGGTTATTGCAACCTCAGCGACCTCCAGCGGAACAATGCTACTGTTAGCAACGAGAAGGAGGAAGTCGAGGGTCTCACAGAGAAATTCCAGACTGTCTGTGGTGTTACTACGCGAAATAATAAGGAAGACGACCAAACGAAGGAGTTCAAGGATGTGTAGACGTTGTCTATCAACTGTGGCGGTGGTGATAGTTGAATCTTCTTTGGCAGTAAGAAAAAGTTTTTGGAGATTTCGTGACCATTCATAAAGGTACTCTTCGCTCAGAGCAACAGAAGAGCAATCTAAAAGGGACTGAGGAAGAGAAAAGTCAACCACCCAAAGAAAGATAAAATCGGTTAGTTCAACGAGTTCAACTCACGGATAAAAGATGTGGCGTCCTGGAAGCAAGAGTCGCGTCAAAGAGGGGCATCTGACTAGCAATACTGGTAAACAAATGGGACGCTTGTATGGCAGATTCATTTGGAAGACTGAATCTACAATCGTCATTATTTTCCAATGTTGAATTCTCCTCAGAAACATGTGTTCTGAAATGCGAAAGGAGACTATTCACTTCTCGGCAGATGTCCTCATGGCTGGATAGCTTTGCATTAGAGAGTTGTTTCTGAAGGAAGGCCAAGAAAGTGGGAGTGACGACAACTTTAAACTGCTCATCAGTTTGAAGTTTCGACAGCAGAATCAACCCCATTCTCAAAGTACGCAAACGCTGGGATATTGGTGTCTCCGGCCTATCGATTGGCGCTAAGGATAAAAATAACTAAATATAATGGATAAATACTTGAAAGTCGCGCCCAAAGTTTACTGAAGATCGGTGAAGATCTAAATCGGGCGACCAATTCAGCCGCTATTTCATGATCTGAGGCTTGAAAACAGCTCTTAACCGCATTAACAATTCGTTTGATAACCGATTTGTTTCCGGTCTCGAGCTTACGAGCATCTTGGACCACCGACATGACGTGAGAGTGATCTTGAAGGCTCAAAATAAAGAGAATTTGGCCAGCCGTGGGTTCTTCCGCCTTCCAAGCAGAATTCCACAGCTGAGAAATCAAGTCTCTGTAGAGAGTGATGACTTTGTGGTCCAAGTGGGGAACTACTTGAGAGACAACTGACAGCATCGATTGAAGGCATGATTCGATCTTTGCTAAGGGTGCTAAGGCGGCAGCGATCTTCTTGTGATCTTCCTTTTTCAAATCATCGAGCCTACCTGACTTATAAAGTATGACTAAACAATCAATTTTGGCCAAATTTGTAGCAACTAGTTCCTACAAAAGAGAGATGATTCATTTCAACTTGTTTAATAGCCACACTTATAACACCTATAGGTTACTGACCTTCGCATCATGGGCTTTGAAAGAAAGCACATTCTTATCGAGGGATGAGAAAAGGGTTTCCGCAGAGATATCTTTATTGTCTTGGAGAATTGAAGTCAGAGCGGATGAAAAACCTGCTTTTGACGAGCGAGCTGATGAGCGAAGACCCTTGGACAGACGGTCAAGCGAATAGGAAAGATGTTCTCGAATATCCTGCAAGATTAAGGAAAATCACAACCTACGTTCCGTCGAACTGACAAGTGTTTCTGGAGATTCTTAATAGCTGCATCTCTCTTTTCGATTTCGGAACTTGTGATATCCCAAAAGAGATCCAAAAAACCCCGGTTACCCTTCTTAAGCACCACCTCTCGCATGTCCTTTCGAAGATGCATGCAGCCTTACTAGTAGTTAAAAGAAACGCCTATAAAGTGTAGTAAATAATTTTTCATGTCACAAATCAATTTTACAAACCTTAATTAACAAATGCATGCAAATTATTTTGTATATCGGTTTTAGCGTTTAGGGGTTTTGGAAGGTTTAAATATTAAGTTAATACTTTATAATGCTCTGGAGTTCTATCATCAATATTCCGGATTCTTAGCTGACTAGCAATTTGTAGCATACAACAATTTACATGAATTTTGTTTTGCTTGTTCTTCGATTCATTTTGTAATATATACTTTTGTCATTATAAAATACAAATTCAGCATGCTACGGTTCGTTGCATTCTTACCCATTTGTCATTCTTTTGTCTAAGAATCATAAGCTTGCTATGGCACTCTAAGTCTTTGCTGAAGTCGGACGAAGGCATAATACTCGGGCAGAATATTTGTACTCGACATCAGTAGGGCTTGGGGTTACTAGCGTGGTCCAAAGGCCGGTCCACCCATCGAAGGTACAATGGAAGAGCAAAATTGGGGGTTAAGCTCTCTAACAACACATTACACAGCCTATCCTTGGTGGTTCCCTTGGTTAGACTCCTGCATCAGCCATCAAGATGTTATCAGTGACGCAAGGGAAACATCCACAAGCCAACCGTGCCAATCTTTGAAATTCCATGCAACTGGAAAAGCACATGACCTCCGCGTTCCTTATCTCTCTTGACAATTCCACATAATCTAAAGTTTTGTCCTGTTTAAAAACGGGATTCGGGGACGGAGAACTGTGCCATCCATCGCCCACGCTCATAGCTAATCGTAGCAACACTAGCCTAAAGGCAGAGTCATGTAACAAAGGACGGAATTTAACTCAGTACCTTGGAGACAGAGTGTGGCGCCTACTTTTCCTCCTTACTTTGTTTTTCATTCAATGTTGCACAGCCACACCTATATAAGTTTGTATTCAGGCAGTACAGAAGTGGAAGAGGTGGCGTAGTTTCACACCGATATTTGCCTACAGGTAAGGGGAACAGCTCCGTGAAGGACTTTTCTGGGTGCTTCACTTCCAGTGGTGCCTCATTTGTAATAGATTCCCCGTTAATTACGGAACTGTGGTAGATGCCGAAGGTGGACGTCATTTTTAGCCCATTTGTTAGGGGTCGTCACTTCTTCCTTACCGCTAAGGTTTATCAACTAGCAGTAGAAATCTGGATGGATGACCTTTGAAATCTTTTGCACCTTTTATTGCTACCAATGCGGCTCCCTGCGACTTTTCTAAGGACAAAGGAGAGCAGAACTCACAGTCAGAAAATACATATTCGACGGTATGTCCCGAAGGTTACTCCACGTGAGGATGGTACAATTGCAGAGCACTTAAGTGGCCTCTTTACGAATACCGAGAGGAAAACAATCAAATAATGCATTTTATTCTACTTTCTGAATAAATTTCTATCTACAGATTTGCTTTATAATCATTGTCTTTTCTTCTTCCTGTAATTACTTTAAAATCTTCCATCTGAAGAACTGATTCCTAGAAAACATTCTGTATGGCTTAAAAAGAGAATTATAGGGTTAGCGAGTGTTTTTTGTAAGTAATTAAACCTAGTTTACCCCTTGGATTTGGACAATATTGCCTTAGCTATTATTTATATCGACTTTGGAAGCTTGTGACTTAAAAAGGAAAGTTTTTCTAATTGCATGCTACATGGACCTCTACACTTTCGTTTGAAATTATCCCCTGGGCCATGTAGTTAGTTCTTCTACTAATATGCAAGTCTTATCTTCACATCCGATTAGTAATGTACAATCAAAGAGGTAGTAAGATTTACATTGTATTTCGGGGGGTGGAGACCATGTATAGAGTTGAATTAAATTCCCCTGTTGGATATTAGGTCAACAGGCCTTGTCGCAATAAGATAGGCCAAGATGTTCACTCACAGGGTTGGCATTTCACCTCAACTCTACCCTCTGTCGCAGTACCTTTTTTGAAACAGTGTGTTTCGATATTCCAATGTTTTTCAGGGCGGTGTCAGCTGGCACCCTCATTGAGTTATGTAAACTGTTAAGCCCCGGTGAATGTTTGGACTATGTCTTTACACACTGGGGACAAACCTCAAACCTATGGCTGGGAGTGTATCGAATGCCTTAGACAATACAACTAAAGCGCGATTTTGTCGTTTTGTACCCATCTCTCAGCCTGTGGATGGCTAGGTGTTATGTGCATATAGGGCTCCAATAATTTTGTGCAGTTTATAAAAGCTACCCCTCCAAGTTACAATCTTAGGGATTAGGTGTAGTACCGAGAATCACGGTTAAGTAAGACAGATGTGGTTATCTCAGTAGTTTATGTATCCAAAGGATCTACCTCGGCACCGTTCTTGAGGTAATACACTTAAAACCGATATCCATACACTGTGACCAAAGGTATCAATGCCTAATCTCCTTCCCTTTGAATTCGCAGATATAGCTGCAAAGCAATTTAATCGCTGTGAAGTGGACCTCTTGAGAATTCTGCAGGTAGTGCAGGCCTGACGGCGATCAAACATGTTTTGAGTCGCATTACCAACTTCTTTCGCTCCATCGAACCTAGCCTCATCAGCTGGCTGAGAGGAGTTTGTGTTCTTACCACAGTTTTCCTGACCATAATATGAGGGCGGAATTCGTATCTAAACTGCTCAACTATCCATCCCTTGACCATTGAAAACATTAGGCCGAAGAAGGCGCTACTTGCCGGATTTTGGAAGTTCCCGGTGTAATTCTACGATTGGGAAAAGCTCTAGTTAACAGCTGCTCTTTTCTGAAGATGATGAGGTGGGCTGGTTTTGCGCAGCACTCCTCAAAGTCAGTTTCTTGAGTTATGCCTACACTCGTCGCGGTGGTGAACAGATTCTAAGGGAAGTGTAAGCTAGATCTGTTAAAATTTTTGCTTCCGAAAATAAAATCAGAGGTAAACTCTAGCTCACCCGAGCTTCATGTCAAAGTCTAAAATGCAGGAAGTTCGTCAAAGATCTCACTGGTGTAGAATTTCCACTTTTTCTCACTCGCATCCTATGGCATGACCTTTCATGCATTGCTTAAGAAGCTATTGTATGAGGAGAAAATGGTCACTGCAGGACTGGACGACGCTTTTTTTAATCATCAGGTTACTCTAGCCTGTCTAAAAGGGTGTAACCAGACAAACACCAATAATACAAGTGTCATCTAAAGAGTTGCGTGTACAGCTTTAGAGGTGATAGTTTACTGAGAATACCTGCAATCCCCTAAAAATATCGTACCTATTTAGGGAATCTAAGATGTTTTATAAGTCCCCTTTCTTAAACGTTGTGTGCGGCAGTTAGCACTCTTTCTGAGTCTCCCCTGATTGGTCACTAAGTTGGCGACTGGACTTTGAGGGTGCTGACATCTCTAGCATGACTAAAATCAAGCAAAAGCTTGAATACACGTGATCCGGACTAACCCACGACTCAGTGCTCCGGCCAAAGACCTCTCTTCCCTGGAGTGTAATTCCTTGATGTTAAGTATCTAGCATTTCTTGCATGTAAGGGATCGTTTTTAATGCAAATTAGGGAAATTGGTTTGAAATAACATGTTATCCACGTGATAGACATGCTTCAGTTGATTTCTCCTCGGTTTTTATTCACAGGGAGTGAACGAACCTTCGAGTACTCCACACGCTTCTAGTATTTCAAAAAGTCTTCTCGATGTAGAAGCGGGCCTCCAGAGGGCTTAATGATGCCAAACTTTACCATTTTTACCCGTTTCCTTGGTGGCGGGCGTGAAATGTGGAAGGAATTAACCCAATAAATCATCTTGCTTCTACTGGAATTTCATTTGCACTTTAAAATGTCAAAGATAATGACTCAATGGCTGGTTTTTGGACGTCATTTTATGCAAATTTCTGGGGATAGAACAACCATCAAACCGAGTCTAACCTAACTTGAAAGTTAATGTTTTCCACTGAGAGCCCAATATCCACATTTAAATGAAATGCAATCAGAACGAGTAATACAAACTACTCAATTCAGTTCCCTATGTAGATGCGAGGTTTTTCATTAATTTCTTAAATTCTGGTAATTGCAAAAGTAAGAGAATAAATACTTCTACACTCATTAATGATGAAGGCATGAAATATCATTTTTAAGTACACTGTAGTGCAGTGCCTCGAGATTTTCCTGAAGGCAAAAGAAGATAGAAGGCTTGGAGGTAATGGCATGGCCCGGAAGCCAGTCCACCTGGTGAAGTTACAATCGAGGATCACCTAAGTGGCCTCTTTACTGAAACCGACAGTTAAATAAACTATCAATGTATTGGAAATAAACTTTGCAAGCAAATGGGCTTGCTGGACTTCTGGTTCACTTTCATCCTCCTAGATCGTTACGGTAAGAACAAAAAAGTAAACTCTATCTCAACTCCGAAGTATTTTAACGAATTAGCTACCATATTTCCAAATTTTCTTGCTACTGTCAGAAAATTTGCCACCTTGGCGTAAATTATCTACAGAACGATTTAAATTTATGTCTGGATTACGAATATCCACGTCAGCAAATAGAATTGTCCCATTAACCCGGACTTATTGGAGTGCTAAGTCTGATGACCCCTGATATAAAAGCTATTGATTCACACAAGATTCTATTAAATTCAATCATATTGGTGTTTTGGACGTTACAAGCTAGGTTTTACTCTATAAATTTACCTTTACGAACATCACAACAACATAAAATACTTATTTTTGTAGAATACCATCTTAAGCTCACTGTTTATGTATTGCTCCAACGATTGAATACCAACTTCTTATAAAAGTCGACATTCACAAAAAAATGAAAGGAAATTGGGATGTGTAACAGGCAAAAGCTAAGACGATTAGAAACGTGAAAGTGGTGAGCTTCGACCTTGTTAGTAAGGAATTAGCGGCCACAACTACGGCTATTCCCCAAACATAACGTTTGATGTGTTAAGGAGCAACATGCAGTCATTTACTTTCCATTCGAAAAACTGCACCGACCTATTGGGATGATAAATAGAGAGAGTCCAGGAAAGGTACTTATCTTAAACCTCAGGTGAAACAATAGCATTCTTCCATGGCACTATCCACCCCATGTCCCCGTGTTCGCCCACATACTGCAGTCGTCACGTGACAGTTAGAGGCGCATGATAACCACCGACCAGACATGAAAGAAATTCAT